TGTGGTAGCCTGGGCTAATGCAATGTGCATTGTAGGACATTTGGCAACATCTCTGATTTCTATGCACTAGATGCCCGTTAGCATCATCCCAATAGTAACAATTAAACATGTCCCTGGACACTGCGAAATGTCCGGGGTGTGTGTGTGTGGCAAAATTGTCTTCAATTGAGAACGACTGGGGTGCAGACCAGGAGCGTGTCTCTCACTGTGTGTTCTTTAGCCTCTATGAGTTTGGGATCTACAGATCGGGAATGAATGGAAGGGTGATTCATCCTGGGATTTGGTCCTCTCTTGGCCACTTCAGGAGTCTCATTTTGTGGCCGAAGAAGAAACACCTGTGATGAGAACAGGAACAACAACAAAACAGGTCAGGCAGGCATGGGCCTCGGTGGGATGTTTGCAGCTCTACACCACTTCAGAGGGACAGAGCCCTGTGGTCCATGCTGGTCCTTTAGCTCCTGCCTTCTCGAGTGCATTGCTACACTGGCTGGCAGAGAAACAAAGCTTAGGATCATTAATGACCTGGTTTCTTCCCAAAGTTTCAAAAATGTTGTCTTGATTTGGTCATTGTTACCTGGAAACTTCTGACAAATGGATTTTGGAAAAGTTTTTTTTTTAGACAAGCTTGGATGAGACAAGCTTTGAAATTTGGACTAAAATCAGAGGGAAGACCTTAACTTACCTGGGACTTTTGAGATGCTGAAGACAGAAAATATTCCATAGACATATCCTGAGAAATCATTTCCATCTGAGGTGGTGTGGATCAACTCTTTCCAAGAAAGGGATGATGTGTCTATTTCCAACTGAATTTTCCCCCAAAATGGACATAGAGATTGCAATATTTCACAACTTACCTCCAATTATTAGTTTTTAAGCATGACCCTGGCTCTCTTCCAGGCATTTCAGGAACCGTGAGAAATAGAAAGTCACATTCAGAGTTTATCGATGGGAAGGCATCACACAACATGTGGCGATTGTTATACGGAGACCCCCGCAAGATGATGGGTACCTGAGTGCAGATGCCACTCACTCACCGCCTCTGTGCACAGGCATGTGGGACCGAGGGCTGTGCGGATCTCACTATGCCAAGTTTCTTTAGGTCTTTATGGCAAATGTGAAGTTTCAGAAGTGGCTGGGAACTCTGTTCCACTCTCTCCCCTCTCCACTTTCCCAGCTCTGTGGAGACACCAGCTTGTTACTTTTCTCAGTAGTTGTGTGTTGTCTGAGCTATTCTCTACCACAGTCGCATATACAGGGAGCTGATTGTCCATGGGTAGCGCCTTGTCTCTTGTGTTTGTCATTGTCATTCGCTACTGATTTGTATTGCATCCTCCCTGGGTCCTCCAGAGACTGCCCCTGATTCTTCCGACACCGTCTACAGTGCTGTCTCATCCCGTCCTGATGTACATGCAGGTGCTTTGCTGAGTGGCCCAGCACTTCACGACCATCAGCCACCATGCTTCCAATGCCTTCCTGCTTTCTGTTCTTTGACCTTTTCCTGCCCTGTGGGGCCTCTTCCTGCTCCAGGGCCTCAGATCTCTTGTGTTCTGGTCATATTTGCTCTCCATGAGCTACTGCTTTGACTTGCCTCCTGCTGTGTGTTCAGCCAACCCCAGTTCCCTTTCCTCTGAGATTTTCTCTTCAGTCATGTCACCGAGTTTGGCCAATGTGGGCAAAATGAGGCCTTCCCAAGTGTGATCTATGCTCTCTCCTTCTCTCTTTTGCTGACCAGATGCAGAGAACTCTGGGGGAAGGCTCTGTGAGATAAAGATGGGGATGACAGATGGAAGAAGAGAGGGTCCTGGGTTCTTGGATGATTCTATGAGTCAAAGAACTCAGACATGCCTGCCTCCTCTGCTGACCCACATGGGAAGAATATAAACTTCCGTGTGCTGACACCCCAAGATCTGGTGATTGTTTGTTACAGTAGTTAGTCTACCCTATTTCATGCCCCATCACTCCCCAAAGCCACTGATTGCCTTTTCTCACCTGCGGGCCCCAGACCAGCTTCCTGTGGTTCCTACACACTGAAGGAGGTCTGTCCTCTGTGAGCTCATCTCCACGGTAGCTTGGGTTCTATATGGGTACTGACCCATTTCATCAGTGCCCAGAGGTGAGATCTCTCTTTCCACTGTTTTTTTTTTTTTTTTTTTTTTTTTATACCTTTTGCGTTGGTCACATATACATAGGTTCCAGGACTATGCCCCTAATACAGAGCCTGCTTCCCTTGTTCCGAATGTCTGTTGTGCCTCTTCGGTTGTAGAATGTCGGGAGGGTGCTCCTGGATGTCTGGCCACCTGCCAGCCTCCTGGCAGCCTTGACATCAGGCTGCTGTGGGCATGAGCTGAACTCCCCAAGGTCCAGTGGGGGCCCAGGCAGCCCCAACACTGTCCCTGTTTCAGCCACTTCTGGAATACCTGCCTTTCATAAGGGCATTCACGCTCACAGATCAACAATGACCCCTCGCACGGGGGCATTTGAACTCTAAAAAGCAGGGAGGAGACTTTTCTGGAAGGGCTGAATCACTCTGCATGGAAGGTTTGGCATCCGTGCGGAGATGTCTCTGAGCTTGGTGTTGTGGAGGTGTGTTTGTCTCTGAGCTTGGTGTTGTGGAGGTGTGTTTGTGTCTGTGTGGAGGCATCTCTGAGTGTGAGTGTCCAGGTGGAGACATCTCATCTCGGAGTGTGTGTGCATCTATGTGGGGACATCTCTGGGTGTGTCTTTGTCCATGGGGAGGCATCTCTGGGTGTGTGTACAGGGCTGCTGGGGACCTTCACAACCACTCTCCCTCCGGGCTCTCTCCTTCTCCATCTGCTGTGAATTATCTCTTTCATTACACCCCAACTTCGTTACAACCCCGAGTCTTTAAATATATTTCCTTTTGGTCCATAATTCGATTCAATTGTTTTGTAACTAAACCTTGCTGTGTTGCCAATGTTGTGCTCAGTGTGGGAGAAAACAGATGAACAGGACCTAGGTCCTGTCTTTGAGGAGCTCACTACGGAGTAGAAGGGAAAGAGACATGTATCCTAGCAGCCCTACTGTAATGTGGACTGTAGAAAAGTCAGCACGAAAAATGTAAATCAAATGCCATAGGAAAAAGCAGTTAGGCATTTAGCATGCCTGGTAGGATCTAGGTGCACGTCCCGACTTTTGGCTACCTTCCTTTTGAGGACTATCTCACTGCTCTCTCCTGGATCATGGTGGATGGCTTGGTTTCTTTGTCCTTCATCATGGCCTGGCTCTGCTCTTCAGTGCACTCTTCATGTTTCTCTCTATACCCAGGCAGCCCCAGCACTGTTGCAGAGAACTCTGGGGGAAGGCTCTCAGAGATGAAGATGCACAGATACTTGGGTATCGCTGGTGTAAATGCTTTTATGAAACTGCTTCATCAGCAGGCTCCCAGGCCTGTGCCTCCCAATCCTCCTGGGGAGGTACACTTGCTCACCTACCTTTGATCCTGTCACCTGTTCTCCAACACACTCAGCTCTGCTTAGATCTGCATGGCGGCTGCCTTCAGTCTCAGTGCCTGCTCAGATCTGGTTGTGGACATCTGTTTCCCAGGCAAAACACAACTCTGGCTATGGTGGTGAGATGTGGGATTGGACAGGCACACAGAAATACGTAGAGCTCATGTCAGTAGTAACCATAATAGTAATTAATAGTCTGGATAATAATCATCTAGCTGCAGTGGCAATGCACTTGAAAGAATATTCTTTGGGTGTGTGTTTTTTTAATGTGCTAGACGGGACAGGAGGATTGGGCTTTTGAAGATACAAAAGGAACCTGAAAAGGACCAGTCTGGGATCAATGTTGATTTCACTCATGTTAATGACTACCTGGTTTCCAGACTTGGCACCATTGAACTTTCTGGACATTTTTTTTTTCTGAGATGGTTGAAAATAAAAATGCAAATGTGGAAAATGGAATGATGAGGACAGACTGCGGGGCCCTGATTTGCTCGCAGAGTCTGCCATCTCTTCCCTTCAAGATGGGGACACATGGCCTCTGCTGGCTCTACCCTCCTGGGTTTTAAGATCCACATAGACCTTGTGAAGATTTTAAGAAATGTCAGCTGTGAACTTTGGGTATGTGCACATCTGACTCCGAGTTTGGGCTTCACTCCTCGTAACGCAGCTGTGTTCCTTGCTACTGGAACCAGCTTCCACTTTTCAGGAGTGTTGGATCAAATTGGCATCTGTCTTTCCCTCCGCGTTCCTCTGCTCTTGAGACCCTAACATTTATTTCAGTCTCTCTAGCATGGAGAGTCTGTCCTTTTGATTGCAGTAATGAGTTTACCCAAGACTCCGTCCCACGATTCCAGAGCGGGGCCCAGCCGTCACACTGACTGATGGCGCTCCGCCTCGCCTGGATTTCCACTTGCCCTGTTCCTCCCACCTGACGAGACCACAGTCAGGACGAGAATGGATGCCTGAGTTAGCCCCTGTCGCCCGTGGCTTAGTCCTCTAGGTGTCAGTCTGGCTTTCCAACCTCTCAGCTCTTGCAGATGGGCCCAGGTGGCTGTCTGCGGGTTGGCCCCAGTGTATACATCCCCGCATCCCCATACATCCCACATGTGGCTGCTGAGCATTTGAAATGTGGCTAGTCCGGATTACAATGTGCTAGCGGGCTAGAACATCCTAGATTTTGAAGACTTTGTACAAAAAAAGGCAAACTATTTAATTTTAAAATATTGACTGCATAATAAGATAATATTTTGAATATGTTGGGGCAAATACAATATGTTCTTAAAATTAATTTTACTAGTTTCTTTTTACATTTTTCGTATGGTTACTTAGAAAGTTTAAAATTCTATACATGACTCACATTAATAACTTACATTGTATTTTTATTGAATAGCACTGTTCTAGGTGACTAGAACTCTAAGCTAGTTTAGACACTTTTTGAGTGAGGGTGCAATTATCTCACTTATATACAATTTTATTATCTCTATGTGGCAGAGATTTCCAGGGCCCTTACATATCTGTTTCTCCTTTCAGTCCAGACACACAGGAAGACTACAGTTCTATGCAGTAGCACTTAATTGATTGTGAGATCGTGTATCCCTCTTGTACCCCCGCTGAGGAGGCTGTGGGGGCGCAGTGTCTCAGCCTGACACTGAGTCAACTGCACGGAAGGTGGGTGCTCTGAAGAGTTGCCTGGAGCTGCAGGGGAATTTGTGTGAATGAGAAATAAACCACTGTCTTGTTAAGCCATTGAGGTTTGGGGGTTTTTTGTAGCCACGGCGTAACCCAACCTTTCCTAATAAATGTGTTTTCTGATTGACAAATTCAAATGATCAATTTGATGTTTTTCTGTTTTACTTTGTATATAAATTCAAAGAGAATTTTGAAAAAGCAGATTTAAAAAAGTGAATTCATTTTTGTAAAAATTACTTTTGAAGTATAGTTGACATGTAATGTTATATTAGTTTCAGGTGTATAACACAGTGAAAAAGCAGATTTTTGATGTTGTGTAATATGTTAGGGGGAGAAAGCTTGGCTAGAAATTAGAAATCTATGGAAAAAAATTAGAAAAAAGAGTGAGAAGTATTATTGTCTAACAAAAAGAAAAGAATTCACTTCAAGTCCATCTTGTCTCATTCTTGGACATTAATAGGGTGACAGAAAAATCACAGAACTAAGTGATGTATATTCTGACATGTGACATCCAAGGAGGAGGTTTACAGGTAGTGTGAGAGATGCTAAGAAAATCAAAATGTCTAAGGATGTTGCAGATTCTTTCTCTGGAAATAGTGTCGGCACCTCTGAACACACAGTTATAAACTGGCTTTCTATGAAGGCCTCAGTTTCTGGAATCACTGGAGATCAGTTTTGAAGTAGGTCAGATCTATTATAAACCTCTTTAAAATTTTTTTTAAGACTTTATTTATTTATTTGAGAGAGAGAGTGAGAGACAGAGAGAGAGCGAGCTGGGTGAGGGGCTGGGCGGGGGAGGGACAGAGGTAGAGGGAGAAGCGGACTCTCCACTGAGCAGAGACCACAATGTGGGGCTCGATCCCAGGACCCTGGGATCATGACCTGAGCCAAAGGCAGACGCTTAACCGACTGAGCCACCCAGGCACCCCTATTATAATCCTCTTTATGGATTTTACTTTGTTTCTTTCCTTGGGACTCAAAAGGTAGAAACTTCCAGTTATAAGATAAATAAGTACTAGAGACATGATGTACAAGCTGATGACTACAGCTAACACTGTGTTATGATATATAGCAAAGTTTTTTTTTTTTTTTTAAGATTTTATTTATTTGTCAGGGAGAGAGAAGGAGAGACAGAGAGCAAGCACAAGCAGGGGGAATGGGAGAGGGAGAAGCAGCCCCCGAGTAGCGAGGAGCCTGATGCGGGACTCGATCCCAGGACCCTGGGATCATGACCTGAGCCGAAGGTAGCCCCTTAACCATCTGAGCCACTCAGGCGCCCCTATGGCAAAATTGTTAAGAGAGTAGATCATCACAAGGAAAAAATACTGTTTTTTTCTTTCTTCTTTTTGTATCTGTATGAAATAATGGCTGTTAACTAAACTGTTATGGCAACAATTTCATGACATATGTAAATTAAATCATTATTCTGGACATGTTAAACGTATACAGTGCTGTATGTAATTATATCTCAACAAAACTGGAAAATAAAAAAAATTATTTGGAATTTCTTGTGTAATTTGGACTTTGTAACCAAGGATTAGGACTTGGGTTTGCCTTACCTTCTCTGCTTCCAAAGGTGAATGCGGCCACTGGGCACTCTTCAAAGGGCAGAGGCAGGGGTGGGGGTACTGTTCCTGTTGCTTCTGAGTGGAGTGAAGAAGTCTGACCATTCTGGATGTAAAATGAATGCTGTGAGTCTCCCTACTGATATGGTTGTGTAGATCTTGGGTACTATGTAAGCCCGAGCTCAATCATTTGTAAACACAAATCCATGACAGCACAAGAATTATGTGACTGAGGTAGCTTTCAAATGAAGGTATAAACACTTTTGTTGTTTTTAAGAAGCAGAAAGTTGAGTGGGATGTTTCCAATGGAGAAATGTTAAGGAAACCATGGAGCAATTGCAAAGTTTGTTTACAGGGTCCTTTTTCGAGGAAAAGGAGTGTAGTTCTCCGTCTGATGAATGTTCATTTCTGGTCTTGTAAAGTGCATCAGCGTGGCCGGTCTGTAGGACGTCATGGCGACGGTGCGACCATTGCTGTGAGGCTCACTACTGCGCTTCTTAAAAAGGAACCAAGAAAATGGTGGAGTAATTCCTCCTAGTAATTCACAGGGTAGCAGGGAAATTGCAGTCTAAAAATAATTGCAAATATTTTGTCGATGATTTTTAAAGTCTATACATTTCTTTTTGGTGTTGGAACAGTTTGAATGGGTGAATTTGTTCCTTTTTATTTTTTTGATTATCATAAAAGTAATGTTTTATTTTTTAATTAATTAATTTTAAAAATTATGTTATGTTAATCACCATACATTACATCATTAGTTTTTGATGTAGTGTTCCATGAAAAAGTAATATTTTAAATATTTAAAACAACAGAAAGTTAAGATTTTTAAACTGTTTTTGTGTGTGTTCTGTTCTAGTATTTGTTCATATGTAAACTTATTTTTAGATGATGGTACAAAAACATTTGTATTCTTTCTTCACCTTTATCATCAAGATTTTCCAGGGTTTCTTAGTCTTTACGATGACAGTTTTTGATGGCTAGACAACAATAATAGAGTACCTTTACCACAATTTATGTAACCATGGTAGACATTTAGCTCACAGATGTACAGCCTAGAAAATATAGTTAATAATATACTTATGGTGAACATTTCATAATATATATAATTGTGGAATCACTATATTGTACACTTGAAACTCATTTAATATTATATATCAACTATACTTCAATTTAAAGAAAAGAGCCTTCATATACTAATTTGAGCCAAAGGGCCTGTATTAGCCAGCTTTTACTAGGCAGGCTGTGCCAATGAATAAGCCCCAAGCTTCAGGGGCCTCCATCAACAGAAGCTCACTTTCCCTGGTTTTACTGTTGATGAAGTAATAATAGATTTATGTCTCTTTACAAGAAGGCCAGAGAATGAATGTGCACCAGGAGAAAGAACACTGCTTCTCTGCTCCTCAAGGAAATGATCTTACCTGGCTCCTGTCTCAGGACTGCATATGGAATGATGGAAGACACTGTTTGGTGGTGACAAACGGGGCCACCTGCACTTTGTATTCTTTGAGGAGCGATAAGGGTATGGCGAGCCCTTCTTTCCTCCTTTTCTCTCCATACCGAGGCGACCTGGGGGGTCCAGCAGCCACAGACATGCTCCGGATCCACTGTGGAATCCCACCCCGGGGGAGGATACTGGTATGAATGCACTCAACTTGTATCAGTGGAGTAATATGAGCTATCTAGGAATCCTTACAGCATTTAATGTATTTTTCCATTTTCCCGACTATCATATAGAGAGGGAAACAATAACGGGAAAACGTTGTCAAGTGCCGACAAAGCTGCTGGCATCACACACTACAGTACCCAGGGGAACAGGAATTATTTTCTTAGTTTGCATATTACAGCAACGCAAAGGGATTTAGAGCATTATCAAAAATATGAGGGATCATTTGAAAGACAACCAATGGTCACTGTGTAGGTTTCCTGTCTCTTTCCTCCATTTGTTTTATGAGCTTTTAGGAAAAAAACAACAACAACAACACACGTGCCTTTTCTCCTCTGTTGCCCCAGGCCTTCTGGAAAAGCCTCCCATTGACTCCCTGGGGCAACAGAAGCACCACATCTAGAAGCCTCCTCCCCCATTGGAGGTGCTGATGAATAGCAGTGGACTGGGTCTGCATGCTGTAAAAGTGAGCCGGGGGGTTTGGGACCCTCGGGTAGGGGGTGAGCACCTGGGGAAATGAGTGGAGGCTTTCACACCTTGGCTAGCACACTCGAGGAGGCTGAACACAGCAGTGACGCTGTTGGCTCCAACAGCCCAGGCCTTTCCCGGGCAAAGACTGAACTGACATCTCTTTTCTCTAGTTTGTAGGTCATACCCTTGCAGGGCATTCTGCACTCCGAATCACTTAGGCAACTGAGTGGAAAGTAGCTACCAGGAACCACATACTTCAAAAACAACAAGGTATTCTGATTACAAGATTCACTTATATTCTAAGCTATTTTAATGGATTAGAACATGCTCAACATAGATTTCTCCAGTGTCTGAAAGCAGTGAATAAAAGGAACCTGGGTCTCCCACTGCCCTCGCGGGCCAGGGATAGATAGGCAACAACTTCTACATTCTTTCAAGATGGATTTCAAACCAACCTTGTGTTCCTGCGTCAAGTGCAACATTTTTATGATTTAATCTACTTTTTTCATGGTGTGAACTTAATTTGCCAATGTTTAATATCTGTGCTTTCATAAATGTGACTGGGCTGAAAATGTTTTGCACTGTACTCCCCTGGAAAGCCACTGGGGTCTGGTGTCTTTGGGGTGTAAGACTATTGATTTGTAGATCAGTTTCTGTAATGGTCACTTGGGTTTTCTATTTCTTCTTGACTAAAATTTGCATTCACATTTATATCTAATGTAAATGTATGTGTAATTTTATGTTTTTTCTAGAAAGTTGGCCATTTCTTCCAAGTTTTCAAATTTGTTGGAAGTATGAAAGTATGAAAAGTATTCAATTCTTACTGTGATTTTTTAAAATCTCTTTGGTATCCACTTTTGTATTACTAATATTAGTAATTTTGTTTTTTTTCTCTCTGTCTAGGTGAGTCTGGCTGGATGTTTGTCCTACTTAGTTTTTTCAAAGCGTCAGCTTTGTTTTTGTTGATCTCTATTATATATTTATTTCCTATTTCATCAATACCTGCTCTTATCTTTATTGTTTGCATCTTATGACTTCTTTAGGTTTCATTTTATTGTTCTTTGTTCAAGCTTTTAAATTGAGCATTTAGTCATTGACATGGATTCATTCTTTTTGGTTTTTAATATCTACTTGAAGGCAATAAATTTTCCTTTACACACCACTTTTTAAAAAAGATTTTATTTATTTATTTGACACAGAGAGACACAGCGAGAGAGGGAACACAAGCAGAGGGAGTGGGAGAGGGAGAAGCAGGCTTCCCGCAGAGCAGGGAGCCCGATGCTGGGCTTGACCCCAGGACCCTGGGATCACGACCTGAGCCGAAGGCAGACGCTTAACAATTGAGTCATCCAGGCTACACACTCCTACCCACCACTTTTAATAGGCATTGAAGTACTTCCACTTCCATTCTAAATATTTTGTAACTCCTATTATAGGCTTCTTTTAACCTGGAGTTATATAAGAGTGCAATTTTAGTGTTTTCAAATATATTTATTTAAAGGACCTTTAAATGTGGATTTCTAAAATAATTGCACGTTTATCAGAAAAAATTCTCTGACATTTATTAACACTTCTTTTGAACTTAATGTGAGGTCTTTCCTCCCCCCCGCAAATCTTTGATGTGTATTTGAAAAGAATTTCTTCCTTGGGTAACTGATATTTACATTTATTTATAATATTAGATCAAGCTCTTAAATGTCATTGCTAAGTCATGTAAAGGTAGCCCATTTAACTTTTGGTGATTTATTTATTAATTTCCCAGAGAAGCATGTCACATCACCTCTTTGATTATAGATTTGGTCATTTCTCTTCATAAAACACGTTTGCTTTTGAGGAGGGCAGCTACGTTGGTTCATGACTGCTGTATATTTCTGATGGATCATACTTTATACTTTACAGATATGCATGCTGTCATTGTCAGGAATGATTCATCTTTCAAACATTGCACTTCAATTTCAGTATTGTCTCAGTGCCTGAATGAGAAGGTCAACCCCATGTATTCATGGCATTCAGGGGACACACAGGGTGGCAGATGCCAGCAGAAGGGCAGGCATTTGCTTTCGGCCACACTGGGCGCC